AAAATTTGATTTTTATTTGAACATAACTGTTCTGTTAATGGCAAGCAAGCATTGCTGCAAACCGATATACACGGACCAACTATTTTTTTTAAATCTTCCCAGCCATCGCATACATAAACAAGATGGACTGTTGTTGGCGGCTATTGTATGGCTGAGACAAACTTCGAAGATTTTTCCTTCCAAAAGTTCAGAAGACTTTGCACTGCTTGTCTATGTTAGTGAAGTACTCGTAGCCCTTTGTGGGAAGGGAATGCAGGTCATTCAGATGCTGGTGCACAAAACCACACAGACGACATTGGATTTCTGTTGCAGTCTGAAATTCGTGGTTAAGTTAATAGTAGATTACAAATAACCATAGAAAATGACAGTTACGATCTGTATGTTTCACATTAAGGAAAAAACAAATAATGGATAAAAAAACATAAGCAAGATTATCGCTGATTTTCAACGGAAAAATTTGATGGAGATAGAATATGGTATAAATATCAGGCTTTAAACAAATCTACGTTATAATAAGTTGCTCCACGTGGCTACATTAATTCCCTTGGACTATGGTAAGCTGTTTTAACTGCGCGTATTATATGTGGTCTTGCGATTAATGCCAGTGTATCGGTGTTAGTATAGTGGTAAGGATTTTAATCCATGTGGGTCCGTGTTAGTGTCATGGTTCGGGGTGTTGCCATGTTTGGTTTGGTGGAGCCTAGGTGAGACGGAGTGAGAGTTAGATTTTGGGGTTGGTATTTGGACAGCTATCAACCTTTAATCGGTGAACTATATGTAGTAAACTATAAAAAATAATATAAAGTACTACTTTATACATAATAAAATATTAGGCCTTACCGGCAAACATGAGGGGCATGCACGATACGTATTTCTGCCTCATTGGGCGTCAGCAGCTGCAGTTACCCAACTCCAGTGTAGCCGCGGAAATTGCCGCCACACTCCAGTTTCGAATCAGCGTCTCTCCGGTCAGGGGCAAACGCTCTATCCATCGACCCCTCGGGCCCGACATTTTGCCAGTTGTTAGTCGGGATTATACATTAGTACATATATGTACACCGGCAAAACGTTAGGCCAGTCATATAAATTATCATTGGAGACGATTGCCTGCATGGAAGGTTGTGTGATATGACTTGGAGTACTCACAGGCCTCAATCCACTCGGTATCTCAAAGGACAAAGCAGCTATATGCGGTGAAAGAGCATGCAAGTGTTTGATAACCTATCAGTTAGCAAAGAAGACCATTGGTAAAAAGACTGACCCTGAGTGCATACGAGTATCACTGGTTAGATGTTGTCTTTGTCTCACTTTCGCAGCCTCTGCATTCTGATTAACAGTTTTTTTTGTTACTGTTGTTATCGTTGGAGTTACTCAAGACCACGGCCCATCAAGTTTGTAGCTGGTATGCTTAAATGCCAGTCCAACTAAGGCCATATTGATTAACCGGAGGATTGTTCTTACTGCCATGAGTTTTCGCAAACGATGTCAATCATTTTGACTGATAAGGATGTCTATACTTTAATTTACATCGGGCAATTCACAAGAAATAGACGAGAGCTTTTTTGGAATGCCAAAGGCCGGGTGCAATCGATTGACACATGGGCATTAGGCAAGGCTAGTGATCGGACACATTCATTCGACGCGAACAGGAGTACAGACACCACGCTCTGATGATGGAAGCGAGCACGCTTTTGAAACGTCACCAAAAATACACCTTGGTCCCAGAAATCGTCTCTTCTTCCTCTTCCAGTGATGATGAAAGGAATGTTTTTAGGTATACATATATATGTTTTTTTACCGACAAATACCTACTTGTAATATTGGAGTCGTTAATTAACTTTTAAACAACACGTGACAAATGATCTCACCACAACTTTTCCGTAGGCCTTCCATGCAAAGTAGGATGCATAGGCGGTGTCATTTCTGTCAAGCCAATTTAGATAGTCCGCCAACTCGGCAGGCGACGAAAAGTCGTCCACGTGTATGAACGAATTTGGAGGTGCCAGGGTACAGTAATCGTCTCGTGGTGCGCCCATCACCACTGGGATCATATCAAACCTATGAAAATATTAAGGCTTTAATTTAAGAAATAGAGCCGGTTCACTGGAACAGTTTGTTTATATGCTGAGTTAACGTGTTATGTGTTGAGACTAGGGCAAGGATATGAAGCATGATAAGGGTGATAACACGT